ACAAAAAGTATTGTCAAGAACATGGCAGAAAAGGAGCCCTAGCACTCTGCTGGTGGGAATGTAGACTAGTCCAGCCCCTATGGAAAATAGTATAAAGGTTTCTCTAAATATGAAAAATAGATCTACCATATGACCCAGCAATTCTTCTCCTAGGAATCTACCCAAAGAATGCAAAAACACTAATTCAAAGGGATATTTATGTACTCCTGTATTCATTGCAGCACACTTTACAATAGCCAAGTTATGGAAACAACCTAATAAAAAAACACAACTCAATTAAAAAATAAGCACCCATGGGGAATACACTTAAAAGGAGAAAGCATATTGTTGGAGACCCTAAAGCATGAAGTGCTGAGAAAAGGAGAATGTCAGGGTCATGACTGGAAGACTGGCCAACATGGACTGGAAGACTGGCCTGTGTCCAGACCACGATGTCCTTGTATCAGCAAAGTTAAGCCTGAGAAACAGGCATGATTAGAAAGGGAGTAGAGTATACCTGATAACGCCAGGACCTTGGCAGTGAAAGCGCGCCTGACAAGGCTAAAGAGTAAGAGAATGATGCATTGTCTAGTAACTAACAAGGAGGGGAGGGGTAATTTGTATCAATAAAAATGAGTTTCACCAGGCACTCAAGACATTTGAGCCCAGAATGAGAGGCCTTGCATGCCCTGGGTCCCGTTTCTCTTAAACTCTATTATGTGTCTGTCAGTTCTTTGTTTCCAAGTTCTTTCAGTTCCTTTTCCTCAACCCTGTTCACCAGAGCTGGACTCTGGCAGCATACACGTATACAAAAAAAGTAAGTGCCCAAAGGCAGATGAATGAATTAGGATGTGGTATAAATACACTGTGGAATACTACTCAGCTATAAAAAATGACAAGCTATTGCAATTTGTAGCAACATGGATGGAACTGAGGGGGATAATGTTAAGTGAAATAAGTCAGGAGAAAGATAAATACCAGATGGTTTCACTCATAGGTGGCATACAGAGAAACAAAATAAATACAGATAAACCAAACCAATAGCAAACTCTATGACTGCAGAATTGAGGCTACCAGTGTGACAGAAAAGGGGAAGAGCAAATTGAGAAGGAACATAATGGACTATGGTAGAGGGCTGTATATGGGTGTCTGGATGGTGGGTATCGTATGATAACATGTATCTGAAGAATGTGATCCTATACCTCTGAATCATATACAGTGTAGTAAAAACATCTCAATTTAAAAAGTATTGCAATCAGTCCTTCCAGAAGAAGGGCATATGGCAAATGTCTCCAAATATAAAAAAATAACAAATAGATTACTTGATTTATTTGACATTATGGAGTAGATTTTACATCTCTGGAGGAGTTTGGCTGAAAAAAAAAAAAGTAACTTGTACAAGCAACCAAATCAATCAAACAAAATGACCAAAGTAATTATTAACTACAGAAAGACACACATTGTAGACTATGAAAAGAAGCATACTAATAGTGTGTCTCTATGTTATGAACAACATTTTACATAGTCATATTAATGTTAACACTGAATTATGATTTAGTGAAAAAATTTAAATGGGCTAAGGGGAAGATTATGCAAGAACAAGACTGCATTGTGAATAAGTCCTGTCAAAAGCATAAATGTTGTTTACTTGTGGTTTGTTAGTCTGCCATGACTTTCCATAATTAACTAACAGATGTAATTTGTGAGCTGGAACTCTTTTCTACAATAGATATGTTTACAACATCATTAAATTCTCCAAAACATGTTTTACAAGCTATTGGAACTTAAAAAAAAAAAAAGCTATTGGAGCTAATAGAGGCTTCAACACAGGGTGGTAAAGACAGGTTCTTTAGTAAAATATTGCAATGAGAGCCTTACCCCCTTTTACTGAATGTTGGAGAGGCACAGTAGTTTATATCACAAGACCCTCATAGCTTGTGATAAAGGACAAAGTAGAGGCAAATTTACTTACTTGGAAGCTTGCCTTCAAGGTGATTAGTTAGGCAATAAGTTTTCTTAATTAGTTCAGAGTCTTAAATTTTCTCTTGTTTGTTTTTAATTAGGATGGAGAAAAGCAATCATTAGCACAGCACAGCATATAAATGAACAGAATAGTTTAGGTCTAAAACAGTGTTTTCTCTCTGCCTAATACTTTTTTTTTCTCTTTTAATTGAGAGGGGGCAGAATAGACAAATAGTTGTATTCTACATTTCTTGTCTCAGATACTCTCTGACTCCAATCGTGTGCCCACATGTGTGTGCTTGGGGGGAGGTGGAGACGGAAAAGAACCCGGTAAAAAGTCAGCACATCATTCGCGTCTTCCTTTCTGCGAGAAACTGAATGGAGTAGGTGAAGGATTAGAGGGAATTAATTAGATAAGTAACCTTTGTTAAGTTAGGGGAGAAAACCAAAGTATCTTTTAAAATTTGTAGCTGAAAGACTCATTTGAAATTACTCATCTTAACATTGTCAAGGTGTAGCTTTTCTATTTTGAATAGCTTGTTCTTAGCTGATAACTAAATGATTTCATTTTTAAACGTTATTCATTATGCATGATTAGTTGAATAATAGTTATATTTGAAACAACCAAGAGGCAAAGGATGCCTAATGTCTAGGAGGAGAAAATGATGACTTAAAGTTATTGGGATATTGCCCGACAAGAAATTAGAAAAGCATTCATTTTGAATCATCCACTGAAACCTTAGTAGTTGTTTACCATATCTTAAGAAGAAATATTGCATATCTTTCTTGTTTTCTTATATATTCTTCTTTAATTCCCCCCCCCTTTTTTTTTAACATAGCTCTAAATTCCCCCAAATCGGAATTCCATCATTTCTCAGGAACCTCCCTGGTGGCACAACAGATTAAAAGCACAGCGCTATGCATGCTTAGTGAAATAAGCCCGAAAGAAAAAGAAAAATACCGGATGGTTTCAATCATAGAAGGAGCATAAAGGACCGGGGAGGGGGGAATAAATAATAATGAACAGCTATATACCAGCGACATTTTACGGGGGTGGAGTGGAGAAAGGGATCAAAAACGGGGCAGGGGTGGTGAACAGGACTATGGTGATGGCACACCAGTGAATTGGTGATGGGAAGCCAACGGGGAATACAAATGAGATGGAAAAGGGCACAAAATGATGTAAAAATCAACTATAATAATAATAATAAACAAATAAATAAATAAAGCACAGCACTATGAAGCTATCGCAGCCACGGCAGCATGAGTTAGAACCTTGGCCAGGGAGGTGACCCATATGGTGCGGCAGACCTCTCCTTTCTTACCTACTACTCCCCTCAGCACTGTATTTCAGTCAATCTGCCTGTTCTGCTCCCCACTCTGTCTCTGGTGAATTCTCTCACTGCTCCTGCACCTCTGATCTGTACCCCAGTTCTGTATGCATAAGTAAATAAATCTTTTAAAAAAATACATTCAGGACTTCTGGCCCTGAGCCAACTTTTTACCTTGAGGTTCTAATTACATCCTTAACATGGTTCCTGATCACTATAGGTGTCTTATATCAAATATATAAGTGTTACATAAAAAGATGCTGGTCTGAGATTCAATGTTATCTTAGATTTGATGAAATATAAATGCTCTATCATTTGGGGCAGTAACGTTCAAATTTTGCATTTTTTTAAATTTGGGGGACTGAACTTTATTAAAATACATACAATTTACACAAAATAAAAGTCACCAATTCTAATTGTACAATTTAATGAGTTGATACAAATATGTTCAGTCATGCAACTGTTGTGCCCAGATTTCGAGTTTCCCAAAGACCACCAAGGAGCCTATTCGGATGCAAAGCACACAAGGGTCTTTATTGCAAGCTCAAGTCTGGGCTCCCAACATGCACCTACGCAGTGGCTGCAGTTGAGAGCCTAAGCTCAGGGAAGGCAGGGTTTTTATTACAGAAAAGGGAAGTTTCAGCTCAGCAGTACATTGATTGGTTGACATTGAACAAAATTGTCTTGTCTTAACCTGGTTGGTCCATGCATGCGCCAGGCTGTAATCTGTGAGGTTCGCGACTCGGCCCACACATCCTGGGACATCTGGTGCTCTCCTGATACATACTGGTCACTTGCTGACTGGCCGTTGTCATGGGATGAGTAAGATTGGGACATTTACAGCTAAACTCGGACTTGGCACCTTCTTGATAGCTGAAACTGAGGCCTGGCTGGTTCGGAAGCATTCTGAAGCCTGTCATGGCTTCAGTTTGGTCTTTCACAACTACCACCAAAACGTGATAAAGAGCATTTTAATCACTGAAAAAAGTTTCCTGGCATAGTGTCTGGGTACTTTCAACATTTCATTTGCCCTTATTGGTTCATTTTAATTGCTGATTAGTATTTCATTCTATAGATGTACCATATTTTATTTATTGCTATTCACCAGTAGACAGACACTTGGATAGTTTCCAGCTTGTAACTATTATGTATAATGTACAATTGACTTCGTTAAAATAGGAAGGAGACTAATCTTTACTAAAACAAGTTGGGTTTTACTTTTTTTCTTTTGTGGTGAATCAACAACATGATAGATGTCACTTAGAAGACTAGGAAGAAAACAAATCTCATACATTTTGGAAATATTCCTTTAAAAGTCACTATCTTGCGAGTAAATTATATGTGACCCCTAATCAATATAAGGCAAAGAAATGCTAAAGATCCTGATAGCACTTTTGAATCGACGACTGGAAACACCGGTGTTCCCCTAAAGAGGTAAATTTGGCGTAATATTGAGTGTATCTGAGGAAAGGGAAGCAAGGTACAGCCCGTAGGACCTATCTTTTGACCTGAAAAAAGTCCACGATTAAAAGATTTTACAATATTTACTTAAAAATTGGGACCCTGAGATAGCTAAGGCTCCAGAACTCCTAGTCACAGCCGGCTAGTTGCTTTGCATGCTGGGACTTGTAGTCCACTAAAAGCCGCCATAATCAAGATGGCGGCCTTGCAACTGACGTGCGAAGAGCGGCCCCGAGGGAGTCTGGGTCACAAGGGGATTGGGCGGTGCGGGATTCAGCGGGCGGGAAGTCAAGACCAGGTGTTAAAACCTTTCCACCCAGAGAAGCCGGGTGCTCTGAAGTCTCGCGAGATCCTGGCGGGGCCCAATGGAACGCGGGGCCCGGCTTATCACTAGGGGCCTTTGTTGGGGGCGGAGTCCTGACGCTCGCTGGCCGGGAGTCGGTGCCGGGCGTAGTGGCGTTTAGGCCGAGCTGCCGCTGCGAGCGGCGAGACCGTGGCCATGAAGGAGGAGAAGGATCATAGGCCCAAGGAGAAACGAGTAACCCTATTGACCCCCCCGGGGGCCACAGGCAGCGGCGGCGGGGCTTCGGGGGACTGCCCCAAAGGGGATGATAAACAGGATCGAAACAAGGAGAAGAAAGAAGCTCTGAGCAAGGTGCCCGACCGGCTGTTAGCCCGGGAGAGGGCGGGACGGGTCCCCCACCCGGGAGGATGGTTGGGAATGGGGCTGCTCTCTTCCTCTCCCAGACTCCCGCCGTATTTCTTTGCCTGAATGAAATCGCATCACCAGGTCTCATCCACTTGTCCGAAATGGGGGGAACCTCTCCCGGCCCAGCTCCAGGGTGGGAATGAGGGGCTGGGGATTCCCAGACGGGAAAGACTTAAATCTGAGTTGGGAGATGATAATGGGAGGGAAGGGCTAGAAAAGAGAATGAGTTATTAAAAGGTTAATTGGGGGGGGGTTGTTAAATCACGAAGGCGCTATCGGAGTGGGAATATGTTGTGGTAGTATTAACGGGGGGGCAAATTGAGGGAGGCTAGGAGGCTACTGGTCGGGGGCACCCTGTTTTGGGAGCAGTGAGTGAATTTTCGGTATGACTTAGAGTTTTGTACTATTTGTGCTAAATGAGGAAAGATTCTGTTTTAGGATGTGTCGGATGTGGGAGAAAAATAATAAATCAAGAGTTTGTGGCAGGCCTACTAATTTTTTGCTACATTTGTTAAAAATTGTTTGATGGAAAATGATGCACAAACCTAGTAAAAAAACTGCGGGTCTGCGGGTTAACAGGACCTGAGTTATTTTTGATTCAGGCAGTTTGCATTTTAAGAATTCTTTAAAATCGCGTCTCTTTTATGTTTGACTAATTCTGAGTATTAAAAGGGTATTTTTTCCCCTGGTTTTTATAAGTGATCTCATCCCAGCTTTCTTCAGGGATGGTGACTCAGGTGTGACAGAACGCTGATTTGCACTAATTTTATTTTCCTATTCATTTCTTAAGGTGGTAATTCGGAGATTACCTCCCACTTTGACCAAGGAGCAGCTTCAGGAACATCTTCAGCCTATGCCTGAGCATGATTATTTTGAGTTTTTTTCTAATGATACTAGGTAAAACATATAAATAAAGGGAGGGGGTGGGTAAATGAAAGACTCCTTCCCTTCTTTTTGCCCTACTAATGTTTTCTATTTGATTTTTAAGCCTGTCTCTTTAATGTATGCATACTTGTAATTCAGGCAGACACCTGCAAACACATTTATATAATTGCTTTCCTCTCTGCAGTCTGTATCCTCATATGTATGCCAGAGCATACATCAACTTTAAAAATCAAGAGGACATCATTTTGTTCAGGGATCGCTTTGATGGTTATGTATTCCTTGACAATAAAGGTGAGTCCTTGTAACTGAAGAGTTGCTTTGTCATTTGTATGTTTAAGACAAAGTATTACAGTGATTCCTAATACCTTTATAGCTTTTCTAAAATCCTGGGTAATAAAGTGTGCAACATTTAAAGTGCTTTACATGGGTTGATATGTCTGACTTTTCACAACCCATAGGTATTTTTATTAACATGTTTTATCTCTAATTGATAAACTGAATGAAATTGCCACAGTTTTCTCCTGTGACAAACATTTTACACTGGATAAGAGGTTTTGATTTGACTGGTTTCAGCAGTAAGTAATACTGATTAGTGGTTCTTTATATGAGTTTTAAATATTTTCTTCTCATCTTGCTCTAAGGACCAAGATGAATTTGCTTTTCACTACATTAAATTGAAGTTATTTAATTCAAATTCCTTTTAAGCCAGTACTTCCTAGTTGAAAAACTGTTTAAAATTCTAAGTTATTGTAAGACATCATACTTGCTCTCACTTTCTACCCAGGAGTTGGTTATATTTCCATGAAATCAATGATTTAATATAACAATTGTGAAAAAAAAATCTGAACTCCACCCTCCGCAGTTTTGTTTATTTGTTCCTCAATGTATATAGCAGCTGCTAAAATGATCTGATTTTGTATTCACTAGGATTTCCAAAATCATGTTTTCTCCATGACTGATTTGTGATCAATTCTGGTTATTTTATTCTGGCTTTGTCTACATAATAGTGATCTAAGAATAATATTTTATACCTTGTATGTCATTGTAGCCGGGATCTGCTGGGTTTTTTTTTTTTTACTAGTAGTCACTTGATTTTTTTTTTTTGAGTTCTAACTCACATGCCATAAAATTTATCCTCTCAAATACATGCTCAATTTAATGGTTTTTAGTATAGTCATCACCACTATATAATCCCAGAATATATATCAATTAGAAAAGAATCCTGTATCTATTTTCCTCTCACCTCAGTCCCTAACAGCTACTAATTTACTATCTATGTATATCATAGAAACAGAATTATACAATATGTGGCTTTTTGTGACTGACTTCTTAACTATTTTCATTGTTCATCCATGTTATAGCATGGATGCCTCATTCTTTTTGTTTGCATTTTTTAATTGTAAAATACGTACAAAGTAAAATTTATTATCTTAGTAATTTTTAAGTTACATTTTAAGAGCACACTTAAGTATATTCATATTGTTGTACAACCAATCTCTAGAACTTTTTCATCTTCCAAAACTGTAATTCGAGAGCCATCAAAAACCCCCCATTTTGGGCCCTCTCTGGTGGTGCAATGAGTTGAAGCTCAGCACTGCAAGCAACCCACAGCCACTTCAGTGCAAGTTCCTATCTCCAGCCCCAGAGTTGATCCACATGGCATAGCAGATCTCTCTTGACCCGCCTGCTGCTCCCCTAAGCAGTGTACTTCATCCATCTGCCTGTTCTGCTTCCTACTCTGTCTCTGGTGAATCCTCTCACTGCCC